AAAATAGGTATAAATACATACATAACAAATAGAAATAAATATTTAAAATAACAAACTGAGTTTTCCCAAGAAATTCCTTCTCTGAGGAATCAAAGTAGTTTTCAATTATTAACCAAGATCCAAAAAACTGCAAACAATTAGTTTGGCAAGACACAGAGTGATTTGTCCAAGATTAAGGAAGAAATCTGTGGCAAAATAGGGAAGTCCTATTAGATTTCTTGCCTCTTTGTCTTATTCTTTAAAAAAAATTCTTCTAAGAGATTGATAGCAATTAGTCTCCATGGAACCATGACACCATTTAATGAATCACACACAACAGGAAAAGCCTACCTCTGAAAAAATTCTTTCCTGCTTCAGTAGTATATTTGTAATGCACAGTGACAGGAGAAGATCAGTAAAAGGGACATTTCTCCTGAGCGGGTTGATTAATTAACATAAGTTGCCTGAATTCAGTCCAAGAAATCTATGTCAAGGAGGAATCCTGCACTGTTTTTCCTAACTGAGCTTGGAATAGTCCCCCAAAAACTTTATCTCAAGAGCACAAAAGGAAATTATGAAGATAGGTATGAAATTTGCCTTTCTGAGCAATAAAGTAATCTTTGATGCACATCATGGGCCAGAGGAGAGGCATTGTGTTTATCAACTCAGGAAATAGGGATGAGAAGAACATACAACATAAACATTATCAAAACTAAGAATATTTGTTTTGTCTGGAAGGGGTGATTTACACAACTTCAACAGTTATATTGCTTCCTGTTTGATCACAGATGATTTGGAAGACTAGGCTTATATCCAAATCCCCAGTTTGCTAAGGCTTAGAAGGGGTCAGAAATGAAATTTAGTTCACAAAGGTTCCTGCTAGTTAATAAATTCTAAAAAGGTTAGTTTGTTAGGGACAGCTGAATACATAGTGGTTTTCTCATTAAAATAATAATATTACAAACACTGTTTTGACTTTAAAAAAACAACCAGCAGCCTTTAAAAGTCAACATTAGAGACTAGATAATGAAGAAGCTGGGAGTATTATTATTAAACCATATAAGGGGACTGTAATTGAAAAGGTTTGGGAAAGACTGTATTGCATCCATTAGTTTTTTTCTATGTAATCAGAAATGGGTCGGGAGCACCCATTGCACACATTGTGCTCCATATTGGCACTCAGAATACTCAGTGGCTTCCAGAAATCCACATACTTCCACTCTGTAAAATCCAGTACTCATTGGCAAAGTAGTTCAAGACTAACCCAGATGCTAAAATTTCTCAACATTTTGTCCCTTCACTTACCTGTAGTGTCTCTGTGCCAACCAGTATCATCTGCAATCTGGCACTGCATAAAACATTTTTTTTTTGTCCCTGAGAGTACTTTCTGTGCTCTACATTTCTCATTTGAATAAAGTGTGTCATTTTTCCTTCAGTTCTCTGTGGAAAGGGCTAAGCATAATAGAGCTGAGAAAGAGATACTAATGTTAATCACAGAATAAGGACACAATCCGAGCTGGAAAGGACTTCAGGATGACTCCACTCTTACTTGGATCAGGTCAGAGTCATGTCCTAGCTCAGATCAGGCTGGCCCTGGCTTTACCTAGATGTTCCTTGAAAATGTCTAACAACAGAGTATGCAGACCTCTCTGGGCAGCCTGCTCCACTGCCTGGCTGTTGTCATGATAAAAAAGATTTTCATTATATACAGGCTGAATCTCTCTTGTCCATGATCCTCCCACCATGTGCTGCTATGAAGAACCCAGCTCCTCACATGGATAATCTTCCTGTAGGTACTGAAGGGCTTCTGACAGGTGCCCCTGAGGCTGCCTTTTCCCCTTTCCAGCTGAGGTGCTCCAGCTCCTGATCATCTTTGGAGCACTGCCTTGAACTAAAGATGATTAAGTTACCTTCAGGTACATAAACAGAAAAGATTCATCAGTTCAGACCTATAATCAGATGAACCAGTTCTGGTAAGAATGAGTCAAGCAGGGGTCTCTCACAGTGTTGCACATTCTACATAACAAGTATATACAGTGTATATAACATTCTATATGGCAAGTGTATAACATGAATGTACGGAATTATATAGGTGAAACATTATCCTAATGAAACCACTAACTACCACAGAATCACATTATTCCTCAGAATGTTCTCACAATCTTTTATAGAGTCACTCTTAGATACAATGAATTCTCTTTTTCACATTTGTTCTTTAATCAGAGATACCTTGATACCAGTAACAGCAATGTGATCTATTTGTGGATAGACATTTTTCATGAATACTTGAAACAAGATGCAAGGTCTCTTTTTTTCCTACTATAAAGATACATTTTGAAAATAAAAATTACTAGAAAAATGTTCTTTGTAGCACAACTTCTCCCACCACCCTAAAATGCACTTATCAGCATACAGTATCACAAAAACAGCAAGGGAGAAAAGTGAGGAAAAAAGCAAATTCAATAACCATATCAAAAGATATTTAAGCAAAGGAGGAGTATTAATTACCAAGTCCAACATTAAAAATGTAGCCAACACTAATGTCAATGGAAAATCAATTTCAAGCTGCAAGATCTCCAAAGGAGGATTCATACACAGATTTGAATTGACTCTCACCTGGAGACATGCCTGGAGAAGGACTACTGCAAATCAATATGCTAGACACAGAGGCCACCTGTGATACTTGGAGCTGAAATCTGCCAGCATGGCCCACTTAATTAGTGCCTGTCACGACACTCACAACTTTATTTGGCAGCAAAAGTCAGACCTCTGTCAAGAGCCTCAAGTGTGATGTCCAATTCAATTATTACAGGACACATTAAAATCTGGCTTATATGGTTAAGAAATAACAGCAACCTATTTTTATTTTGGGATTAGAATCTCCCCACTGCCTTAAAAGAAAAACATTTTCAGCCTATCCAGTTTCAACATTCACATTAATAACCTAATTTTCCTTAATAAGACAGAAACTGAGAGCTTAGTGAACTTGTTCTCTACCAAATACAAGATATTAAAATATAACCACATTTTAAAAAAAAAAAAAACCAAAAAAAACCAAAACCTTCCATTTCCTAACTGTCATTGAGAAGAAATTATCTACTGTAGGTTTTCTTTGCACACTCTTCCCTGTACTCTTCAAATACATCATTAAGTAGGACAAATCCAGGGAACTTCTATTACCTATGATCAACAGTAGCCAAATTCACTTTAGTTTTGGGACAGTGTAATGCACTGTCTTTCCAGTGATATCAATAGGTCCATTCTGCTCACACTGAATAAGTGTTCTTCCCCCTTTCCTCCCCTGTGTATCCCCTCCTTATCCTCCCATGCCAGGAAAGGAAGGAATTCTACTTTTCCTGCTCAAATATCCAATAATCATTTCAGCCATCTGTTTCAATACAAAAAAACTCTTCATAGAAGTCCATCTAAATGGCAAACCATTAGAGAATAAGATGATTTATTTTAGTTTAGTGCAGTGTCACTAGTTTAATAAAATAAAAAAATTACTAAGGATTTGGGAAGTACTATGGCTTACCTATGTAAAAACTCACTCTTGCCAATACATTCTATCGCTGCTGACAGACATTAGAACATTCCTTTCATCTCTTTCCTCTTCTTGCAGTTTAAGCTATCCCCTTAAGGAGTATTTGCTTTCTCTAAGATCAATTATAAATTGTATGCAACATGAAAACCTTACACACTTCCTCTACCATCTGTAAGGCTTTTATTTCTACTTCTTAAAAAAGAATTAACTCAAAAACCTTTTATTTGTCTTTTCATTTTGGGTAAATAAACCAGGATTACTTTTCTGTAAGAAAATTCTTTAAAAAAGGATTGCTATTTCCAGATACATGCATCTAAATTAGATAAGCATTTTTCAATGCAGTCAACCAAACATTCAAATATAGTGAGACCAAATGTGGAATGCAAACTGTGATAAAGAGCAAATATGGAGCATACACATCCACACACACAAACACCCCCTCTATTCATGAAGAAAACATGATCTAATACAGGTTTGTTTTCTTTCAAATAATTTTTTCTGCATCCCAGTGTGATTCCAGGATGTGAAAATTAAGATAAATTTTATGGGTCAAATTCTTATTAACATTACATATTCTTAAGTCAACTGAAACTGATGATGACTGGATGCAGTGTCAGAGGGTGGAAGTGGCACAGAAAATCACCATGTAAGGAGAAGTTCTTAAAAAACTAGACATGACATAGTGCTTTGAATGAAGGAGGAGACAATTCTCAATGTGACCTGGGAGAAATAAAAGCAGAGAGAAGCAGAAAATTTGACACAATAGCTAACAGGTTATCAGATAAGGATCAATTTTCAAAACCAAGCCAACTGCAAGATGTTCATAATGGTTGTGGTTGACTCTAACTCCATTACATAACTAAGTCTAATGGAAGCAAACCTACATCATTTCCTGGTCCATTTAGAGCTGTAAAGGGGAGAGACTAGTTTATTACATTTGTATATACTTCTGTATTTTTGGAAGTACAAAATAGCTATTTAAGACTTCATTATAGCAGAGCTTCATTAAGTCTTCAGTAAAAATTTCCCTCCTCTTTTGTCCTCTTTTTTTTGTTTTATTTTTTTTTTTGTTTGTTTTTTGTTTTTTTTTTTTTCTTTTAAACAGAAATGTCCCTAAAAGAAGCCTGGGTAACCTGCAAAATCAAACTAAATCAAAAACAGATTCATGTATTCATGTAGATTATTTAACTGTAACATTTCTCGCAGTGGGAGTTCGCAAATATTATCAAATTGATATTCATGTTATGACAACTGACTGATGAAAACCAGAAGCTATTCTGACACACGTTTTAACCCATTTTTCTGCTACTGGAATGACTATTCCATCAATGGAATGACTATCCGATAAATGTCAGCCTGGTTAAACTTTTATTCATTTGAGTGAAATGTGAAGATGCGTCATGTCCTCAGCTGAGTTCCAGAACCACTCAGGATGTCATGCAGCATTTAATTCAGCAAAAAGGATTAAACATCTAACCTGGAACAGCTATCTTCCCAGCTGTTGGATGATTCATTTCCATCACAAGTTCATTGTGCAGTACCTAGGAAAACAAAACAAAACAAAACATGTATGTGATATAAAATACAATCAGTTCCTAAACTCAAGAGGAAAAAAAGAGATAAACATTATCATGTTCTTTCACAGACTCTCTGAAAATACAAGGAGCTACAATACAAGTAGTCTACTTAATGTGAAAGAAAAAAGCTTTGATGTTTGACACTATTTTTATTCATGCAGCTAAATAAATGCTTCACTAAGACTGCACATGTCTAACATATCTTTAAGCTCTTAGAGTCATCATCAAACATAAGAAACTGAGCTGCAAGCATGTTACACTTTCAACCACCAACAGACAGCTGGTACCAACACAGCATGACTATTAAAACCTTCACACCCTTTCGTATTAAGCTTCAATATGTACTAAAGGCCTATACATAAACTTTGTTATCTTGTTTGGTTTTTGCACTGTTAGTTTTGAGCTTGTGATGGATCATACTGTGAAATGCTGTCTTAATAGCTTTTACAAACATTTTGGAAAGACTAAATAATTTTGATGTTTTTTCTGTTCTTTTGAGTGGGTGTGCCATGCTTCAGGCTCTGTGTATATCTATATGGGATGATTATTCATCACAATTTTCAGATCTTTGTTATTAACTTCAGCCAGAAAACAATGTGTGATACCAAAATTGTCAAGTAACAAGAGAAAAAGATATTTATAATAGCAAACTCACTGCTCTTGTTTCTATAGTTCTGCACCAAAAGCCACTAAACAATATTTATAATTTCTTTACTTATTATTCTTCCATCCATGTAATACTGTTACATTAATAATATAATCAGAATTATTTAAAAAAAAAGGTGCCCACTAGGCAATTACTTTCATATCCAATGTAACAAGTCTAGAATGTCTTGCCAAATGTATCAGCTATAGAAAATGAAACATGGGAAAAGCCTTTTAAGTTATCATCTACCTATTCACCTCATACCATGAACAACATAGCAACCTTGACTATTAATGACAAGTCTTGGTCTAATAAATCTTTAAAATTTCAAGTTAAGATGATACTATATGAATACACAGGAAAATCACAGTTCATTGGAATGTTCCTGTTCTCGACTGCTGCTTTCTTCTAGGCCAGTGTCCTACAGACTGTCTCCTTCACAATTCTACATAAGAATTTTCATACGTAGTCTGCACCTTGTTCTGCATTTTTATTACTATAAATTTTTCTCCTGATACATAATCTAAGTGTCTGTCTATTAAACATCTTTATTCTTGTCTTTTCCCAAAATGAACACAGAAAACCAATCACTATCATCTTTACAACATTATTTTATGTACTGGAAGATTGTAATCACATCCCTCCTCAGTCTGTTCTTTTCTAGACTATACAAAACTAATTCCTTTAACCATTCTTTCCAGGTCAAATTTTGTGAACCCTTTATCTGTGTAGAATAGCGTGCTTAAAAAATTCCCATTCCTGAACAGGTGGTGTCAAAAGGTCAGGTCAGCTTTCTCTTAGCTTGTAGGATGAACCTACTTAGTTGACATTTAGAAATCCAGGTATTTCCAATAATAGATGCTGGTGGAACAGTGTCTCTTAACTGGTCTAATTGCTTGGCGGTATATTAAATCATTAGTTCTATTTATTTTTCAGAAGGTTAAAGGCAGTTTTGGCAGACATTCAAGTGAGACATTCAGAATTATTTTTCCAAATGACAGAATTAGAAAATATAATTGCTTTTTTAAATTTATATTTAGAATATTTCCAGTAATGCCCTTAATCAAACCATATTGAAAGTTTGGCCTCCTTTCTCCATAACTTATTTACATGATCTTGCTTTATGCATTTAATTGATTATTTGGGACCTGAATGCAAGAAAACACACTAATTTGAACTTGAAATCCACAGCACACTGAGGTGAAAAAGCAGTTCTTTATATGGCAAGCTAAAGCATGTACCTAAAAGTGGCTCCAGTTGTTTAAAGAAAAGCATACAAATCGTCTGGCAGCTACTCAGGGCTCCACAAAATTCATGTTTTTCTCTGTTCTGAGTCTCTAAATTCTTCTTCTCATAAGACAGATCTAATTTCTTTTAAAATACTCTTTTTGTTAAACTCCAGATCCCTTTTCTTCATAGAATGAACTACAAAAACCCTGAAGTGTCTTTGAGGATCACCACTACTCCTTTTAAAAGAATTGCTTAAGATGCAGTCAAGCTTCTTTATTATTTTCATTATTAGTACAGTGTTGAATTTCCCTCTCAGATACATTTTTTACTCAAAAACACTGAAATTTCTATTAATCTTATTTTCTACAGTAATTAGGCCTATATTGATATACGAGGTTCCAACTTTTCTTTTGAAGAAAGCAATCACCAATAAATGACTGGTCAAGAACTATGGATGTTTTTCCCTACACCAGCAACACTGTTTAAAATAACTGTGTAATTTCTCATTCCATGCATTGAACTATCAGGACTCTCAAAAACAAACTGAAAAAAAAAAGTCACCAACTTCTCATGTGCATTCTTAAAAAACATGAAGGATTACTGCATTCTAGCCTTGGGAGAATGTAACGTTCACATCCTTTACCATCAAGGACAAGGAAAACCAGAGGAAAAGGTAAGAGACACAACTCAATGGCTTTCTCCTCCATTGTCTTGTATAGCTGAAATATTTCTGATGTGGTAGAGCCCTCTACTGTGTCTGTATTCACCTGAACTCATAATAAGAAACTGATGAACCAAAAGAATCATGTAAAAGATGAAGGCAATCAATAGATCAATTTAATTTTTTTTTCCATATGGGTTATTTTGCAGGGTAGAAATACTATATGGTCTATTACCACATGAGAATTTCTGAATAAAATAATGTTTGGGTGGCATTTTACAGTGAGATCACTGTAAAGAAATCAGAAGCACAGTCTTCAGTCTTTCAGCGAAAACCATTTAATGTGTACCAGGAAGAGTGTGGCCAGCAGCACTAGGGAAATTATTCTTCCCCTGTACTCAGCATGGTGAGGCTGCACCTTGAGTTCTGCATCCAGTTCTGGGTCCCTCAGTTTAGGAAGGACATTGAGGTACTGGAATGAAAAGGGAGACAAGGCTGATAAAGGATCTGGAGCATAAGCCCTGTGAAGAGCAGCTGAGAAAGCTGGGGTTGTCAGTCCTAGAGATAAGACCTATAACTACCTGAAAAGAGGATGAAGTCAGGTAAGGGTTGGCCTCTTCTCCCAAGCAGCCAGTGACAGGAGAAGAGGGCAGTCTCAAGCTGCTCCAGGGGACATTTAGGCTGGACATTAGGATGCAGTTCTTCAAAGAAAGGATGATCAGATACTGACATAAACTGCCCAGGGAGGCGGTAGAGCCACTGCCCCTGGAGGTGTTTAAGGAAAGACTGACTCTGATATAGTTGACATTATGGTCTTCGGACTTATGATCTCAGAGGTCTTTTTCAACCTAATTCATTGATTCTGTGACACCATTTTATTTTATTCCAAATATAGACATCACTTCAACTCTGATGATGCATGTAACTAAACACCCATGACAACACGGTTTCTCTTAAAACTGCCAGCAAAGTTTCAAGCCTACCTAAGTTAAGCTTGTAAATCCCTATCAAAGGAGATACTGGAATCAGAAACATATCAAACCTTGTAGCTCCACCTCCCTCCTTCCCTGATTAAAATTTTAGAAGTTCTATTTAATGTGGAGCTATGCACTCAAAATATGCGTTTGTACAGGTACTACTCCTTCACAGATTCATCTAGAGTTTAGTGAAAAGGATTTTAAGGGCCACAAAGGAAATTATGTAATCAACTTCTCCATATTTCTGTAGCCACAAGATAGCTGGCTGTTGGTAAATGAAATTACCACTCGTGCCTCCAAACCACAAAAAAGTAATAATAGTTTTCTCTGTACATGCTGAACATAGACCAATGGCCATAATCACCCCCTGAAAAAGTAACAGCACATGTTGTGAAGAAAATGCCATATTGGAATTGCATCCCACATACTGAAAGTACCCCTTTCCAAATAAAAATATGTCATTTGAAATTTGGAAAGGATATTAAATATATCCCTATCTGATGCCTGGCCCTGCTTGGTTGTGTATTCCTAGAATGTTGTTGCACAACAGAATGGTTTGCATGTCAGTATGTTTCCCCTCCACTTTTTTTCCAAAGCAGAAATCCCAATATACTCAAGTTCTGTTGCAAACTTTGTCCTTCATCACTAATAACTTCACTGTTCTTCTTTCCAAACACAGTTTCTAATATGCAAGGGTCAATTAGAGAAGGTATTAACTCTTTACTTTATATATCTAAGTTTTGTATTAATGAATCACATCTATCTCCACTTTACCTATCTCTCATATTTGAAGTTTTTTACCATTTCATGAGACTGAACATAATTTAAAGAAAAGTTTGCTTTCTTAACAAATTTTTGAATTAATAAAATCTGGCTTTGTTGTTTCTGATTGCCTGTTAATTTACCTCTTTTCTCCCTTTGTCTTATTCTGACACAGTAAACACTATGAGGATGTTATAGTCTCTAAGGTCCCTAGCACCATGTCTGTGATGCTCTATGAATACACACAGGAAAATCACAGTTTATTGGAATGTCCCTATTCTCTTTCTGCTTTCTTCTAGGCCAGTGTGTTACAGACTGTCTCCTTCACCAAACTTGTTGGGTTTTTTGTGCATGTGAGGTGACGGCTTTGAAAATGTTCTTATGTCACAGCTGTATAGCTATTGCTACTATAAGCTATAGGCAAAATTACTTTTTATTGACATCTCTCAGGATGGCATTTTGAGGCCTGATGCATACATCTTTATCCTGATCCATGTCACATTGCTCAAATACTTCATGCTTTTCTGCTGCATCTCTTGTTCTACTACAGAACACCTCGCCTAGAGTCCCTCTTGGTTATCAAAATTTAATTTTCTTACTTTTTTATCTTTTGTCTAATGAGTTTTTGCATCCTCTAACCTAACAGTGGTTCTACAAACTAGCTACTGGCTCTTTAATATTGAATTTA